GTGCACAGCCAATACTCAATGAACTCAATTGACAAATCCTTAAGGTTTATTCACTGGCAGCATTTTGCACCCTTCGAATTAGCTGCGTTCCTTGTTCTCTCTCCCGATTCAATTTCACCAAGATAATTTACAATCTTATCTCCCGGCAGATTTTACTTTTACAAACTTCCCTAGTTTTACCTAGCGCCTGGCGATTTCGAATTCCCCCAGAAGCCAAACAGCCGGTGAACTAAATCTGCTGCCAGCAGAAAGCCCAAATACACACTGGTCCAGTGTACTTTGGACCTATCGACGTGCATTAATCAGAAGGTAGAAACAGCCTAGAGCAAGGGGTACCAACTGCGTGACAAACGCGCAGGGCTCCTATAGGGACTTACCGGTTGACGATTTTCCTAAGCAATGAGAACTGCCCTTAAGTTTGTACAGGAATTTCGTGTAACCCGGGTCTTCGGGAGCCCACGGGGTAAGGCGCGTTCACAAGTCAGCGATTTATCCTTTTGCTCGATGTGGATTCCACGTCAAAAACATCCCCTAACGTGGATGAGGGAGACGATGACGTTTCTCTCTTCGCGGAGAGAGAGAGAGAGAGAGGGAGGGAGGGAGGGCTGTCTCGAGGAGAAAAACAATTTTCCCAAATTTTCTGGTAAATAGCTCTCTAATGATCGATCGTAAGAAGCTGGGTCTGACGCGACTAGCGGTATAATAATTTATACCGCTAGATACTAAACGGGGGTAGCTTCCCTTCTGAACGTATCAAACATAAAGTCTCTCTCTCGTGAATTCTCACTGAGGGTGGCATCTGCTACGTGTTAGACACGGCTCGCAGGGCACAGTTCGTCACGTCATTATAGTCAGGTCTATCCTAGGCACGAGTCAACTGGGTCAAGTACATGTGTTACGACGAATACAGTATATACGCATGTACCATTGTACCGTAGAAATTGGATGGAATTTTGAAAATACAATAAATTTTCATTCGCACCAACAAGAAATCTTCGAGAGAGAGAGAGAGAGCTTGTCTGGAAATGTCAAAGGAGGACGTAAATTCTCCAGCATCCGTTCGGTCCAATCTCTGTCCCAAGCTGGCAAGCTGCCGTACATCGGTTAAAATCATCATCGTGGCCATAACCGATTTCCCGGGATTAATTAAGCATTAATTAAAGCAACTTCACACTCAGGAGCCCGTCTCTCGTGCCAGTCACCTGCAATGCCTTGGAAATTAAGGAAAGATGTCGCCAGGCTAATGCAAGTAGCGAGAATAGGCTTGGGGTGCCTTATACATTATAGACTTGTGTGTGTATATATATATATATATATATATATATATATATATATATATATAGAGGGGTAGGCAGGAGGCCGTTACGACGCCAAGAATCGTAAACACCCTGTTATTTAGGGGATGATAATTGACTGCCTACCGAAGCGGGAGCGTGTTGCGCCTGTACGGCAAGATTATTTCTGGCTATAGTATATTTTCCTCGCGATCGTCGCGATTAAAGTACACTCGAGGACGCGGGGTAACACGGGCTGCAATTTCGTTTGTACTTTTGAATCACCCTGTACCCCTGCTGGCTCTAAATAATTCGCACTCACGAAAGCTCCAAGGCCGTTCGGCTAACAGTCGTATTTACGAGACAGTCATTGCTGCCAACTCCGACGCCGTGACAATCCGATTGCCGAGAGTGAAACTCCGCCAAAGTTCCTAGGACTCCGAGTGTGTTGCGTAAAGAGAGACGCGGCTGCCAATATGGCGCCTGCCGCGTCGGCTAAAAGCATTTTTGCGTCAGAACGTCAGAGGAGCCTGTCATCAATACCGATCGATTTTTATTCATGACTTTTCTGTTTGGTTGGGGAGACTCTGAAAGTCTGCCTTATCGACAGCCGTCGGGAGATGCCTGGTGAACGGGATTAATGTATGTGTAATAATATGCAGAAGGCTTGAGAGTTACTTGTATATCGGTGTGTATAGATTGATTATTTCATACCTGGTGGCTATGCTGTACATTGGTGTCTTGACTATTGTTATTTTGAACTCGTCCACTCGGTGCACTCTCTATACCTTTATATAATGATACAATGCCAAGGACTGGGACAGTTTAACGACAATAAGTCTCATTCTCAAGAATCGACACGTTCCTCGATGGAATCTCGAAAATCTAGACATCCGGCAAGATGACAATCGGTCTCCTGGTATTATCCGGCCGCACTGATGGGCATTGGTCCTGGTCATTCAGGACGATACGACGTGGCGGAACGTTGCCGATTATAAGGGACTATTGAGACTAACGTTGTCTGCCTGAAAGAGCTTATACCTATTTCTAACTGAGCGAAAGCTTCTCTAGGCTCGGTTTTTGTCAGAGGTGTGAGGTTACAAAGGAGGCGATCATGTGTTTTGTCCTGGTTGTCCTGTGCCCCATGCCGGGTAAGGATCGTCCGACTGGATATCCTACTCATCCGGCGAGGTCCGATTCTAAGGACTTTAGATATCGTGTCCCGGAATTGTTACTTCCAGTTCGATGTGGTCAGCACTGGGTGTTTCTCCAATTAGTCTTTCTATTTTTTACCACGGGATGTGGTCTGACCAACAGCTTCCAAATTATCTTTACCGGCATATTTAATTAGCTGGAAACACTGTCCGTTAGGTTTTTTGTATCTATGTTCTTTTTTCGCGTTCTTGCTTCTATTTTTGCATTGGATTCGAAAGGAGAATTTATTGTGTGAATTTAGGTGAAAAACTTATACGTCTACCGAAGAATTAAATTTGGGAATTTTGGTATCGTCGAATGGTATATTGAACGGTTAAATTTGTATGTGCATATGTGTATGATTTTTTTTCTGGATAAATGTCACGAGTTATGACTCTTGCAGAACGTCTTGAATTATGAACTCCATTTTTCTCTTTCTCAGGGGCGTACGGTTGCGCGTTTAAATTACATAGAGAAAAATGAACGGGAATAAACCACATGTAATTAAAATGGTCGCGTTTCTGCCAATTTTAGCAATTTTGTCCACCGTCATCAGCACGACTTGCCGAGCTCCACCATTTTCTAAAGAGGCTCGAGTAATCGTAATTATAATTTATCCGTCTGACAAATGTCGCCAACCGCTCTCCCTTAATTCTCTTTCATAAGGATATTGTAGGAGCGGGCGTAGAAATTGAAAAAAAAAATGTCCTACTTCTTCCTGACCGTAATAATGCTGACGGGACAAGTCGCGAGTCTCGAAAAATCACCTTTTGCTCCATTCCCGGAAAGGAAGAAGAGCTCAAACCAGAAGCCGCACGATTATGGGAATTCACAAAGAGAGAATTCACTCTGAAAGGAGAGATTCTCCCGTGGACAAATCTGTCCTACGAATTGTCCGCACATGCCCAGGGATGCCGACAAAGTGAAAAATGTCCCGCTGCGTTTAGAAACGGGCGTACCAACCTGGTGGCCAAATTTCGGAAGAGTATCCCTCGTTGAAGACACAAAATAACACATAAAATCATCGATCCCACGCCCATGGCACCCACGGAGTTAACACATCATTGTCGAAGGTGTGACGGACCTGCAGATCCTAATCTGTCGTGTTGCCCCGAGCTGCCTTATTGTCAGGGAAGTTCGTGCCCATCTTCTCGAGACGCTCCTTAGTACACACAAACCGAATCCACCATTTTCGTTTTACTCTCGTGAAAATCGTTCGATTCCTTTACGAAGAACATATGACACTTCTCCAATGAAGACGCTACGAGTCACTGGACGCGTCTCCGGCCCGAATCACGTGACGTCGCATTGTGGATACTCAACGGCTGACAGTTGTCCGCCGTCTAGGGACTTCTTTAGTTACTAAAATTCAAACAGCGCATCGCTCGTCGGGGGCGCTTGATTGGTGCGCGAACAAACTCTCTAGTATTCGATTGAGTGCGTCATTCGATCTCTCGCTGGAGTAACGAAGCACAATTGTAGTGAATTGCAAATGGGACAACACAGCCTGTGGACGATACCTGCGTAAGTGTCGAAGCGTAAATAAGCACTCGGGGCTCATCCGATGTTTTCGCCAGTTTACTCGGCTTTTTCCCAGAGGATTATTTTCGTGGGACGAGGATCAGGATGACCGGGATGGGATTGCCAGATAGGTACTCTGAGGTTTAGAAACTGTGATTATTTACCAACCTAACGGCACTTATCCACCTGCGAGACTTACTATTGATTTTTTATGGCTATCGAGTTCCGCTTGTAACCGACAGGTGGGACAACGTTCCAACTCAGGCGGTTCTAATGTAAGACAGTCTGGAAATGTTGCATCATTGCAAATTTTCTTATTATCATTGCAAGGGCATCTGGATGAATTTTGTAGCAAATTGGAAATCGGATGATTGTCGCGTGCGAATAAAAATGTGCTTTTAATTTCACAAGAGTGACGAATCTTTCTAATGAACGATAATGACCTGTGAATTGAATGACGATCATAATGACTCGATGACGATTCCCTATTGCGAAGTTTGGGGCTTGACTCCTTAGATGTGACGGGATTGGGTGGGTCTAGGGTGAGACGCATGGTCGACCAAGCGACAACGCAGCGCGTTGCGGTCGCAAGACAATTGAAAAAATCACTTGTCTCGCCCTAAAAGTAGGGACGAGCGATGGGGATCCTAAAGGCAGTATCCAGATGCACGAGATTCCGACTGGGGTGGAAACTGAGAGCGACAGCCCGTTAAACGCAATGTTCCGGATCTAAACATTACGCAGCGTATTCAACGAAGTGGGAAGGACGGGTGGAGGGGGTGCGTTTGGGTTATCGCTTGACTTCCACTGGCCGCAATTTTGAGTGTTAGGAACTCGCCTTAAGCCCTGTCCGATTTTACATTCCGTCATAAATTTATCATGCAGGATCGTTCGAAATTTTTTTACGCAAACAATTTTTCATTCAATCTCCCTTGTGTTTACTTGACGCAGGTATGCGCCGGAAATGGCGTTAGGGGTTGGTTGGACGCATCGCATGAAGCGACAAATTGGCTCAAGTACGTTCGCAGCACCGCCAGTCCACATGCTGTTAATATGCGACACGTTCTCATTGGCGGACAGGTAAGAAATTACATAATTGACAAAGAATCGAATGATAACGTTCGACCTTTCATAATGTTACATTGAACATCTGTGTTCCCCTTTGCCGTGATCGCCGAATCGAGATGCTCGATTGACTTTTCGATCATACGGATAACGTTGTTTCAATCGATATCGCAGTAACGGTATTACATATACATTCTGTGTATCTGGCATTTCTGACTTTAACAAAACAAAGAGCAACACAGTAAGATGCTAATGATTAGATTACAACGACATTTTTTCTAATTTGTTTCTAAGGTTATCATACAGATATAGAACTGAGCGCATACACGACTGATGTACGTATCTCTAAATCGGTCGGTAAGGTAGATCATAGATTCTTTGTTATCGGTAGCGATGCTCGCTATTCACTTAACGAAAAACATGACGGTCGTGAACTAAATTCTAACCCACGTATGAATTGGCTAGTTCATTTTTTTTTTTTGGAAATTTACGTTATTATCGTACAACTCCATTATCAGCCAGATATCGATAGAACATTAATTGAACATTGTGAATTGTTAGGATGCCAAGGTAACCTAAGGAATCAGTATCAGTTGGCACGTCGCTCCAATGAGAACGTATCTGTCGTCGCTCTCGTTAATGAAAGTAAATATACTAAACGAATATCACGGTTCAAAATTTTCATTATAAGCTTATAGAGCCTAACGTTACTTTTCTACTTGAGAATAAAAATCTTTGCTATATCAAACTTATGAGCGATTCTCATGAAGGCGTAACTGTCGCGAAATGATACATCGAGGTCACCATGTCAATTCGAGGTTAGTCCAAGAGTCAAGCTCTTAGGGTAGAATCATTTCGGTGCGAACCAAAGCATATGCTTTGCTTCTCCCTCGTTTAGTACAGTGTGGGTGTGCCCTAAGCAATTCATATATAGGGTGTTTAGGTTTTAACTCTACTCGACCTACGGTGAACACAGTATGGTATACTACTGGTCCGAAGGCCGTCTGAGAAATCCGGATTATCCAATAATAAAAATTCTTATCGCCATCTATGAACGAACCTTAATCAATCGTGCATACGTTTTCATTGCAGATGGTCTACGAAGCGATACGCGACATCGCCAGCAGTGAGGAATTGCTTTTAGGTTTGAGGGAACCTCTTCAGCTTAAGGATATGCTCGGTGAAAACACGACGGAGGATAGAAGCGACAGAGAAACCGGTAATTACATGTTTTTTCCTATTATTTGATACAAAGGGTTTTATTAATATTACGTGATTTATAGTCGCTCTCGTGGAATCGCGCCTTTATGACTTTACGCGATACGAATCGAATCGCGGCTCGTGCATACAATTAACCCCTGGGGCAGGTGCTAGATGGGCCAGGACGATCAGGAGCTGCATAGGGTAAATCGTGAATCGTCAAAGCACGCCCGTACACTTATCCCACCCTTATTTGACTACTTGCTCGTCATGGCCCCGTGACTTTGGCGTGATTCACCTGGCGTCCGTTGCGTATTACCCTTGTTCTATATATATATATATATATTGTAACTACGCACTGATTATCTATACACGTATACCCTTCCTATGAATTTTACCCGTTTGTCTCTTTATCTGACTATCTGTACTTACGGGCTGAGTGGACACGGGTTGTCGCGTGCCACTGGAACAGCTTGATTATGAACTTTTTGAAAAAAAAAAAAAATTCAAAAATTGGTTTCCATAACAATGCCAATACGATTAATATTGAAAATCCACAAAGTTTACGGGATGCTGGGAGTGTCCGTAAGTAAGTGGGGGGGGGGTATGTGTTCAGTTCCTCTCCCCTTAAAGGAGTGGGGGGAATGGTCCGAATTCTACGTAGGGATGGGGAGATGGTCGGAGGAAGGTTACGAGACACCCAGATGTCGCGATAATTAAAACGGGGCTTATTACGAAAGTTGTGCTGTTAAAATCTGCAGGAGCAGAGGACGGGGACGAGACAATTTTCTCTCTCCGTTAGTTTTCTAGATTAAAAAATTTGTTTTCACGCCAGGATGAAAATTTCAATTTTCATTGACTATTTTTTTCTTCACTCTTGCCCTTCGTGATCGTCATTAATTTTCGTTGCGTCATCAGACCCAAACCTGACCACGAAGAGTTCGTTGAATTTACGTCAGTCCCAAAAGCTACGGGGGTGTGTCGGGTCTGTCCCGGAAATGGGCTCAACCAGTTCCGGGCAAATGTTTATCCGTAATTACCAGTGCTAGATCGCGCTAGTAGTAGGGACTTTCGACTCCCTGAATGGATGGGCGCCGTTTCTACTGCTCTTAGAAATTCACAGACCCTCCACGTTGGGGGTTGAAACCCCGTCGGCTACCCCCCCTGGATTACCAATCGAAGATTTATCCACAGTTAACCCAAGTTCAAGGGTACGTAAGGGTGGGCAGAGTAAGCTAAAATGAAAAAGTTGAATAAATTTTGAAAATCTTCAACCTTTTTTTTTCATCCCTGAAAAAAAAATTTTACCACGTGATCAGCATACCTCGCTCGGCATCATCAGCCTATCGGAACCAACGAAGTATCAACTTGCGAATCGCCCAAGACCTAAGGGTAGTTTTACGTGACATTTTTATTGGCGGGAAACGTAGTCCTCGCAATTAAGTCGGCCCCTCGTGGCGATGTTAATTTCTAAAATTAATTAAGAGATTAAAGGCCGAGTTTACGGGCGTCGCTCTAGCCCCGAGTTGCCGGGTGGTAAGATCGTGGGCGGGGGGGGTGGTAGGAAAAAAGAAAGAGGTGCGAGAAAACTGTAAAAGGAGGGCAGCGAGGCAATTTTCACTACCCCATGAAATATCACTGCCTTACCCCCCCTCC